CATAAAATATTCAATATAAAATATGTTACTATAAAATAGTGAGTAACATATACACATGTACAAGTTTTATCTATAGGTTTGGCCAATGCGTAGATGACTACTGCTTCCTTGTGCAGATGAACGGTATCTTTTAGGTAAATGTCCATCCAGTTTGCCTTTTAATGCATCTGTGGAGTTCGCCATTACGACCTCCTCGGGCAGTCCTTTCCAGGCACCGATGACTCGTGAGAACGAATGTCTGCGGACATCCAGGCGGGTTAAGGTTCCCCGGAGTTTAAGAGAATTCCCGCGGAGGTTGATGTGGCGAACGTGAAGGAGTCGCCAAACTGAAGGGCACAGTCCCAATTCCTCACGATCTTGTACGTCTGTATAAGATCACGTCGGATTTGCCTGTACTCAAGAGGAAAAAGGTTAATTGCTTCTAGTCTACATTCGTAAAATGAGAACTTTAGACCTTTCACGATTTTTGTTGCCCTTCTTTGTACTCTTTCTATCGGCTGGTAGTCCTTTTGCAGCCATGGGCGCCACGCCTGAACTCCATATTCGAGATGTGAACAAATAAATGTCCCGTATATTTTGCTGAAGAGTTCTTTATCGATGTCGACAAAAGTTCGCTTAATGGCAGACAGAACACTGTTCACCCTCTTGGCAGCCCTAGCACACTGTAAAGACGACTTCAGGGAGTGCACAATAGTAATTCCCAAGTATTTTTTGTTATAACGGAGCCGCTGGACAGTCTCATTGAAAGTGAGTTCACGAGGGCGTTTTGGCAGAATGATATCCGCGTACCGCTCGTGTTCTCTGGTGCCCAGTTTGCGTAAAAGCAGGCGCACCTTCCATGCATCTTCGGCCTTGGCTAAATCAACGCGGATACTGTCTTCCCAACGTTTGAACCAAGCGTCAAAAGTAACGCCGGAGTCGGGGTCATAAATGAACTCTATGATAGAGGCAGCAGTGGCATCCGCTGAGGTGAACTGTTTTGTGGAAGAATCTGGACCAGAAAAATACAAACTGAATTTTGCATCATGGACTCCATCATCTTCATGTGAGCCTCCTCAAACTGAGCTTGTTGCCGTTTTAGGATAGACTGCAGTTGTTCCGCAGAAATGGACTTTGTGAGTCCGGGTCTGCGTCGCCAAAATGTTATAACGAATGCCCAGGCCGAGATATTGCCGCCCAATGACGTCCCGTGTGAGTCCCCTAAGAGAGAAC